CTCTGCTCAGTGCCGATCGGGGGACCCGGTGGTCTGTCTCTAGGTGGCGGGCTCCTAGCATGCCCAAGAAGGTACATGAGGCCCATCGGGATCGAGCCCACGACCTCCTGAATCTCACTCGCGGCCTTTACCAACTGAGTTAGGCCTTCAATCACATCCGGAGCTCAGCGGAAAAAGGTCCTGGTCTGAGCATCTAGCAGGGCGGGCCTTTTTTTCTTGTCTTCCCGCTCACCGCCCCTTTTTTTTTTATCTGCACCTGCCTGTTTTCCGGGGCTCCGTACACTCCCTTTTTTTCCCCCAACCAATCTCTGTCTATCCGGCCGTTCATCTTGTGATGGCCAAATCCTTTTCCCAAATTTTCTATTGCTCTCGCGCTCCCTCGGCGATACAGTGGCGGCACCCGTTTCACCCTTCCTATGTAGCCGTTTGCCAATACTATACGACCAACCGCCGATGCCTCGCTCAAACCTCAAAAAGTTGCGTCGGTTGCATGTCGTGTGGTGTGGCCCTGTCGACCATCCAGAAGGCCCGAGTCGCAAAAGCTGGTACCCTATAACCATAGCAGAGACTTGTGGTAGAAGTAGTCGTTGCCGACATCCGCCGATGGATCCTTCCACCGTCGTTATTTGACCCTCACGCTCACACGTCGTCACCCACCATCGCTGCTTCGCTTCAGACCCCAATGGATAGGAAATCGGGTATCCCCAAGCCCCTTCTTCTCGCTGCCCCTACACCATTCCCCCATACCTCACGCAAACCCCCTCACACGCCTCGCAAACCCAAATCCAACCGAACCCCCCAAAGCATAAGTAGACAAAACCCCGAAACAAGGGAAAACCATCAGCCACACACACACAACCAAGCACAAAATTCAAAAAAAAAAGGCCCGGTTGGTAGGGAGCCGCCCGACAACCAGCCCACACCCCAATTCTCGCCGTCCCCGGCGAGCCCAGTATAGGTTCAAGAATCGAACACGAAGGTCAAGCGAAAAAATACATCCATTATTGCCTTGTCGACTCAGATATCCCCCTACTCTTTCTAGACTCCAATATAGTAGATCATTCTAAAATGTTACCTACTCTATTCTTTCTGAGCCGCTTCCTCCTAACTAGTACACAATTTATCGTTTCTTTATAACAGTTGTATCATTCACCCTGCCCTCTTTCTAAGTATGATACACAAGTTTCACGTTTCCCCACCTCTGTGGCCGATAACATTCACTCTATTACTCCTTCCCCCTTGTTTCCTCGATTCCCTTTCTCTAACTATGGTACATGGCCGTGGCCTCCCTATTCTCTCCCACCTGTTTCCTGTTTTTACTTTTTTTAGTTACTGTGCATGTCGGTCGTGCACTTTCACCTCCTCGTGCGACTCCCTCTCGGTGTAGCCAGTCTCTCTCTCTGCTTCTCTCTTCTTTTTTTCTCCTCCCTCCTCCACACGGCTTCCAGTTCTCTCCTTGCTGCATTTGGTTTCTCTTTCAACCCTAAGCGTTTGGTCCAGGCCTTATCCGGGTCGTTGTCTTTCCTCCACTTCCTTCCAGCCTCTCCTCTTGGGATTTTTGGTTGAGCACGTTCCTTCGCCAAGTAAAATCCTCCCCTCACAATGGTTTTTACATTGGTCTCTACTTTGACCTCTTTTTGAAATGGCTTGCCCTTCTCGAGGACGACTTGAGGCCCCATCGGTAAATCGCTCACTAACTTTCCGCTGTATTCCAAAGCTTCCATTTCAGCCGGATTCGATTCGACTGGACTCATCAGACCCCCGCACATCGGGCCACTCGTCTTCATCTCATCATAGGTAACTCCAACCTTGTATCGTCTCACTCCCCTATTGATCAACTCATCAGCCCAGTCTTCGTCTAGGGACAACCTGGGGTTCTCAACCCTCACATCCTCTATCACTACCCTTGCAGTTGACTCACAACCGCGACGACTCTTGCACATCATTCCAGGAGAGCACGTTTTTCCAAAATTTCCCTCCTCTGTCTCTCCATCCTTAGGACCTAACGCGGACAAGGGCAGCTCCTCGAACCGGACCCCATAAACTCCGAACCTGCCCTCCTCCAAGGTTATCTTTTTCGTATCTTGTGCCGAGCGATCTAAATCGCTGGGAACATCCGTCCTGGCTGTGTTTATTGAGAAGCTCTCACTGCCACATATTGGAGTCTCGTCCTTGAGATAGGGGTTAGTTACTGTCTCCCTAAACTCAAGGCAAGGGGAGCCTCCGCCCTCAATCGCAATACAGGATAGGCATTCACTGACGCTCACCTCCCGCCTCTCACCGAAACTTCTCTCGTCAGTGCATCCCCCCTGTAAGGCACCCAAATAGGGAGGTTCTCTTAGGGGTCTGCTCATGATGGGACTTCCTCTCAGGTGCAATCGATGTGGTACTCGTGGTGGCATTGCTTGGACCCGCAAGCTCTGACAGCTCATCCCAGACGATCTACCGACCTCATACGGTGACCCTGGCGGGGTCGGACGGGGACTTCTCCACCGTCTGTCTCTCAACTCCCCCCAATGGAAGTTCCATCGGTCATCAACTGCATTACGATCCCAACTTGGTTCGAGCGCATATCCATCCCTTGCGTCCTCACCGCTAGGGCCTCTCCACTTCGGACCCAGCGGTCCTAGAGGCGGTCCACCATGCCATCTTAACTCCTGTTTTCGGCTCCGACCGTCCAACCCCTCTTCATAGTACCAATCTCCACACCTAGGCTCGGACTCCATACTCGACTCGCGACCCTGTAAATATTTGTCTAACTCCTTCCGCATGTACTTTCTCACGTCTGTGTCGTTCTTTGTGAACACTACCTTTGTTACGTCGTCAAAGGTGACGCCATCCCCTGATACTTCTCTAATATCTCTTGCTGCTTCTTCTCAGACAAGTGCGCCATGTACAAAACGCACCTCTCCACTTCACACAATAGCCCACGGTCTATCAGCGCTTGGGAGAGCGCTTTGAACCTCTCAGTGAAGGCCACAAGGCTCTCCTCAGGCCCTCTTGTCATCTCTCTCAACCCATCCATTGTGGGGAGCGTATCATCGCGGGCAAAGAGCCTCAGAAGGTTACCCTTAAACGTCTTCCACCTTCCATCCTTAGGGTAGGCTGCCCTTATCACATCGTCCAGCTCGGGGTCTGAATGCTGTAAAAAGTTATCTATCCACTCTCACTCTAAAAATCTCTTCCGCAGGGCATAGACCTCCCATCTCCTTACAAACGTCGTAACGTCATGACCTGTAAAATATAAGGACCCTACCCCAATGTCAACATCGTAATAAGGGATTCGGTATCCCTCGTAAGAGTCATTCATCGGCCCTTCTATCATCGGATCCCAGGGCCGTCTCAAGTCAAGATCAGTCCTAGTCCTATCATGGTACTCGGTCTCTCGCCATCTCTCAGGGGTCAGTGGACTAGGAGCCCACCGATCTTCATCCCACTCCCCTCGCCCCCTTACCCCTAAAGGGACCTGCTCATGCCCACAGACTCGCTTGGGCTCTTGCCCGCTCCGAGTGCCATCCTCTCGGGTGGATCGCCCTACGTGGTCCGTCCACCTGGTATCTAGGTTGGACACAACCCCTGAATCTGTCCATCCAGCCTCGTGCGCAAGCCCACCCCCGATTTCAATCACTCCCTGTCTCTGTCGCTTCAACTCCTGTCCCTTTCTAACAACGAAGTCATCGTCGTCTTGTTCCACTCGGCCCGACCATCTAGTCTCTCGAACTGACTCGACACCAATCTCGGTTGTTCTTTCCCTTCGGTTTAACCCTGTCCTCGATTCTCCCTCTTCGTCAACTATCTGCTCCGTCCGAGCGATCCCCAACACCCGCACGGGCCTCACCTCCGTTGATCCCTTCCTCGAAAGTAACTGTGATCCCCTTCCCATTCGGACCCTATCATCCTCATTTCCCCATTCTATTACCCTTGATTGTCTCAAATCGCGGGAGATCCCAACTGCAGCGTCGATCGGCCCCACAGTCGAAAATCCATACCCTTTTTCTGAAATAAAACATGTCCTTACCCCTTGGCCCAACCCCTCACTAATGCTCTCTACCCCCCGGATCGAGTTGTTTCTCGCCAGCGCGGTACAACTGTACATTTCCGCTTCACTCTACGCCTTCCTCAAGGTCTAGCTTCTCACTCTTTCTTCTATCTCCCCATTCCGACCGCCCTCACTATCGGACTTCGCCACCCACGGATTGCTCTCGTCGAACCCCTACTAACGTCGGTGTCTATATGTTCAGTATCTGCTTGGTCACCGTCAGCCCAAGTTTCTCACCTACTTAATTATAGAAGAAACCTTGATGAGGTTTAGCCCTCAAATTATGACCCCTAGGACTTTGGTCATGCGAGAGACCACCACACCCCCCTGTCCTCCCCCCTTGAGAGGTCCTCCAACTTCCAAGAACAAGGGCTAGCCGCGAACACAGGCTATCCCCAATGAACGGTGGCAACCCTTAAAGGAGTTGGACCGAAGTCACACGCCTGTACCCTATGTCCCCCAACTTGACCGACCGACTCTGATTATCCTATCTGGCACCGTGCCTCAGGCGTGGAACCACCCGGGTCCCAATCTCCCGACGGTCAGACTGCTAATCAGACTTAGCCCACCTTCTATTCAATAACCACCTTGCCCTACTAGTACCTCCCAGACTCTCCTTCTAGATCCGGGCCTCTCTGCCCCTCTACGTCCACCCAGCTGCGGTAGAGACTGAGAGAGGTTCGCGCAAGCACAACAAAAAAAAACAGCTTGGGTCCATCACACACCTAGTAAGGACAATTTGGCACACACGGTCAGCCCGCACCCATTTCTTTTCACCCAGTCGCCACAGGTCACGCAAAAAAACAGACTACAAATACTCAGCTCATGCAAACAACAAAGCACACATAGCCCACACCCCCTTCGAAACCCACACTCTAAACCCCCCAATACTCATCACCCCCTCTTTCCTCTACAGTTGCCTCCCCTTCAAACACCGTGACTTCCCCTTCTCACTAACACTCATTCCACAGTGAAGCCTCCCTAATTCCCCATAAGGGTACTAACCTCGTAACTGCAGGGCACCAAGTAGCACCGGATGCTGCCGCCGTTCACCATAGCCATCATCACTACCTGTTGCTGCTCGCCACCGTTACCACTGTTTGCTGTTGCAGCTCCACCAATATTCAACGTTACGGCAGTTCCCACCGTCATTGCGACCTCAACCTGTTACTATTGTCGATCCCACCACCTGCTTGTCACTGGTACACATTGCTGTCGTTGTCTGAGTCGTCGTTGCCACAACCACTGTCGTTGTCCAAACCCTCATCCCTGCTGCTGTCACAATTGCCCTCCACGGTCACAGTTGTCCTCACGGTCACTACTGATGCTGCATGTCATAGCTCCACGTTCCTGTCGCTATTACCGCCCGTTTTCTGTTACGCGCCCGCCTCTCCTTCTCTTCCTTTCGGTTCAGGGTCAGTCGAGGCTGCGGAAGAATGCCCTCCCCGGCAACGGTGCCACTTTGTCGCTGGAGGGAGGTATCTGCTACGGCTTAGTGCGACCACTCCTCTTTGGCTGCTGTCTAGACCACCCCTCCACACCTTCTACATGCTCCCTGACCAGTCAGTCATGCTCCCTGCGCAGATCTACCCCTAACACCGACGGTAACTTGCACCCCCCCTTTTTCCCTGCTGCCCCTCTCCAGTCTGTTCCCAGCTCCAAGCGTTCTTGTCACTCACGTACACTTGCTGCCTCCTGCCCAAGGAGTATCCATGACCAGTAAATCATCCGACTCTCACAACTTGCCAAGAGCAACAGCACAAGCGAGCACTTCGTAATGACATGAGCACTTGCACAGACAGACACTGGTTTCAAGAACGGGAGCCATATTAGAACCCAAAGCGAACACAAAACCCACACAGAGCGAACCGCTTCTGAGCCCCCCCGAAACCATGACAAGCGAGGAAAACACAGGAGCATTCTCCGCACCTCAAAAGCCTGGGAGCTCTAACTGCCAACCACGTGATCCTTGAGAAGAGGGAGAACCATTGCACTGCTAACGCATGGCTACGGCTGGCCCAACATTGACAAGATCAGCCACTTTGCACACCGCCACAGCTGAAGGAAACTTGATAGCTACGAGGCAGGATTCAGTTTACTTCGGAAAAACCCAAAGGCCATACACACGTTGCCAATGTACAGCACAAAAAACTGACCAGCCATACCGACAATGAACACCCTTTCTCACCTTCAGCACGCATACAGCCGGGGACACGGTTGACTTTATACCCCGCCTTCATCAATTGCGAAGCCCGCGGAGGGCGGTCTGTCTCGAATACCTGAAACCACGCCCGTCGTACGTGCCCATCCTACACCCGCTGCCCTTCTGTGCCCTCTCCCCGCATCCTAGGGAGATGAACAGGTCGCATCCTAACACCCCGCAGTGACTGGACCAGGCAATTCCACCTGTCCAGGCCCAACCCGGCTCATCTCTCTTTCTCTCTCTCTCTCTCTCTCTCTCTCTCTCTCTCTCTCTCTCTCTCTCTTAGGTTCTCTCTCTCTCTCTCTCTCTCTCTCTCTCTCTC